CACACACACACACACACACACACACACACACACACACACACACACACGAATGCATTAACCCTGATGCTTCTCTGACAGTTCTGGACTACTGATTTTTTACTTAATCTTTTTTCTCCTTTTTTTTTTTTTTAACCTTCCATTCTCAACCAATTGGGTTCTTAGTAATAGCAATAATATATAACTTGTTCCCATGGCCATGAATTTTTGCATGATGAAATTATTCTCTCACTATAGTCATTGTTTTCTCTCATTTTTAGAACTCTGATAAGACTTATTTTGCGTTTCCTCTCGCGAGTCACAGGAAGAGCTATAGCCATGTCTACTGCCAGAGCACCATGCTGGTAAGATGCTTGGCGCCATCTCCTTTAAATTTCCAGTTAGGAGGTGTGTTAGTTCTCTCTGTGGTTGCCGTGATAAAGTCCCTGAGAGAGACGCCTTAAGGAAGAGTTCGTGTTTGCTTGTGGTTTAAGTGGGTACCACCTGTCATATCAGAAGGCGAGGCAGCCCATGGCAGTCGAAGGCGATGAGACCCCCCTCCTATCTCAGCAAATTAGGAAACAGAACGGGGAGCAGAAATGAGGCTGGACTGTAGCTCTCGGCGCCTGCCCCACACCATCCTACCTCTTCCCGCCAGGCCTCACCTCCTAAGATTCCACGAAGTGTTCAAGGACAAGCCTCTAGGGGACAGCTCATACTGCAGCCATAGCCGGAGGTCAGCATTATATTGAGGAAAATGCTTGTCAGATTGCAGCTCACGCATCTGAGTGGTTAGGGGGTTGTTTTCTGTGTTTAATGTCTACGGATGTGTTGGCTTACCTGAGAATGGCCCCTGTAGACGCATGTATGTGAAAACTTTGTCCCCAGTTGGTAGAACTGTTTGGGAAGGATGAGGAGGCGTGGCCCTGTTGGAGGAGATATGTCATGGGGTGGACTTTGAGTTTTTAAAAACTCATGCCATTCCCAGTTGGTGCATTCTACCTGGGCTTGTAGATGGAGCTGTGAGCTCTTAGCTACCGCTCCAGCATCATGCCTACCTGCCTGTTGCCATGATCCCCTCCATGGTGGTCATGGGCGCTAACCCTCAGGAACCGTGACCCCCAAATGAAATGCTTTCTTCCGTAAGTTGCTTAGGTCATGGTATTTGTCACTTCAGTAGAAAAGTAACTCAGTTGATTATTAATTACCGTAAGATAACATGCAATTTAAATCTTAATTTCTTTTTTTTTTGTAGAACTTGTAAGCCTATATAAAAATAGGGAGAAAATATGATAAAGAATTATTTTGTAACCAGAACACAATTTTGAACAATTACCAGTTCTGCCATTCTGACTTCATTTATTCCTGACTTCTAAGTGCTGGGATCGTGAACTGACCTGCAACTCTGGCCTGTTCTCCCGCTTCAGAATGTCTCTTTATTGTTCCAGGGAGCCAGGATTACACAAGCATTTTACCTACAGAAAGAGGAGAGAAATACTTAATTATTATTTTCTCTTATTCTTTAAAAAAAAAAAAGATCATCTTTTAGTTAAACCTCATGAAATCAGAGACTGACTGTCTGACTCACTGCTTTCTCTGAGACCTTAACTCTTTGGTCCTTAGAACGAAATTTATAGACGTTGGTTTGATGAAAGGATTGATTTCATCATTGCTTTGTTTGAGATTCTGAGGCAGCTTAAATAGTTGTCTTGACAGTGCTCCACACCATCCTACACTCTGGTGGGATTTCAGTAGCATCAGATTTGGGATATCATGTTTTCGTCCATAAAAGCTAGATTAAAAATCTCAGGTGGTAATGCTTTTTAAATAACCAAAGCTAAATGCGGGATGCTTTGTTTAAGAAAGGAAGGAAAGAAAGCAAGCAAGCAAAGGCAGTACATTTTGCACCATCTAATTCAGTGCTGATGAAGCAGTGGCTACCTTCGGTGTCCAGCCTGGCGGTTGGGTTTCGGCCTAAACACATCCCTGGTGGTATAGAAGTTATGTCTTGGTAGTCGAATGAGAATGGGGATAGTAAAGTAAAAGGCCAGCTTTTTCAGATTAAAGGTGCTTGTTTTTAACATCCTGGCTGTGGGTGTTTGTTTCTAGAAACGTCTATCTCTAGTTCATGCTTACTTTTGTTAGGATGTAGATTACCGTGTGTAACTAAAGCATGGATACTGTGAGGCTGGATGTTGCGGGCAGCGGTTAGGAATACTTAGGTCATGGGCTGCACAGATGCCCGAGGCCAGTCTCATGCTGGGTCAGCAGCTCATCCGCTTGATCCAGGTTAGTCGTCAACTCTTGGCCTACCCTCGACCTGTGTGTCTTTTAAAAGCACATTGGATGCTTCTTAGTCATGAACCACTACTTGTTTTCCGTGCTCCTAATCATCGATGTTCCTATATGTTTTAAATATATATGAGTGTGTATTTGAGATGCTTGTTTTATAACATTGTTTTCTATTATTAACCAACAGGATACAAATAGTTGGATTTTTGGCTGTATAAACAGCACATCCATGTGGTAAGTTTTTGGACCACTTGTTTACTTTTCTTAACGTAAACAGTGCTCAGAAGTTACAGTTTTAGAAAAGGTGTATGTGTGTATGTATCCATGTATGCATATATGCGCGCACACATACACAATATTTTTTCTCTTTAATTTTTGAGATAAGGTCCCATTCTGTAGCCTGGGATGTCCTGGAACATACTGTATACTCTGGCTGGCCTGGAAGTGACTGTTATTCTCCTGCATCAGCTTCCCCAGTGCTGAGATTATAGACATGAACCACAACAAATGGCACGCTATATGTTCATTATATGATCGTCTTTGCTGCTGTATCAAATTATAATTTTTATTATAATTTATAAATTTTGATTATTTGTGTAGGTGTGCATGTGTTATACATTGCATGTATGTGTGTGTGTTTGTGCTCTCTGTGTGTGCACTTGTGTGTGTACAGTGTGTGCTCATGCATGTGTGTGCTGCGTGCATGTGTATATATATGTATGTTCATGTGCTCTATATGTGCATGTGCATGTGTGTGCGTGCATGCATCTCTGTGTGTGCACGTGTGCGTGAGTACACACGCCATGGCATATGTATAAAGTTCAGGGGACAGCAGTTGGGAGCTGGTTCCCTTTCCATCTTGGTTCAGGCTGTCAAGCTCGCCCTGCAAGTGCTTTTTCCCACTGACTCATCTTCCTGGTTTGTTTTGTTTTGTTTTGTTTTTGCTAAGGGAACTTTGTGAACTTTGTATACAGACTCTACACTCATTGCACTCATTGCAACCATACAGTATCTCATTTCCAGGGCCACGGATCTTTTTCTCTTTGCGCTGAAGTTTCTTTACAAATTATAATACTTGAACATCTGCCCTCTAATTATGCCTTCATATTTATTTCAAAGCCAGCAAGGGGTTGATTTATCATGGAAAGCTGAACTGCTGCCGACAATCAAGGTAAATGATAGCCTTAGAAATTTATATTTCGGTTAAAAAAAATTAGTTGGTAGACCCTTTAGAATTGGGTCTTTTAAAAAAAGTCATAGGAGTCCTTTCTTTGGAACTGTGTTTGATGAGGCCTGGCAACCAATTAGCTGTGTATTGTTTATCTTTAGAGATTCAAAACTGTAAATTGAGAACTTGCTGAACTGGTTGTAATGCCATTTACTGAAGGAGTCAGAGACATTTTTTAAATTCCTTTTCTTTTTCTTTTTCTTTTTTTTTTTTTGGAGACTATGCTTAAACTATAAACTGGTTAATGTATTCTATTGCAAATTTATTTGAGAGGAAGGCCCTTGCAGTGGGCGGTGAGATTTCAAAGAGAGACCGAGTGATTTTCTAGATTGCATCACATTGTGGTCAGGTGACTGGGTGACTCTCCTATCTAGTTCTCCAGGGTGGCAAATCACAGCCTGGGTTTCCTTCATTGTTGTTAGTAATTTTCTTAAGTGACTCCAGTAAGTTAGCACGTGTTTTTCCTTCTTCTTCTTCTTCTTCTTCTTCTTCTTCTTCTTCTTCTTCTTCTTCTTCTTCTTCTTCTTCTTCTTCTTCTTCTTCTCTAACAAATACTAATTTGTGTATTCTCAAAATAAATTGCAGGAAACACAAAATAAGTCTGTAATTTGGTGATAATGTCAGTTCTAATTTCCAAACTCTGTTTATTATAATTTACGGTCTTGTCTGGGTTTGGTGGATTCACTTTTCGCATAAATAGAATACACTTAAAATAAAATACGCTCTTCTAATGAACTCAGACTTGAAACAGACATCGGGCTGCTCCCAGCCCTCTCTCACTGATTACAATTGAGTTATTTTTTTTTCTCACTGACACTCATATCCCTATTGAGGGGGCAGGACGAGGCACCGTTGTCCAGTCTTGTCTTCACCATAGCCACATCCTCAGCCTTTTGCTTTTTATTTTTGAGATGGGGGAAGGGTCTCACTGAGTTTACTTGCTGACCATATATATATATATATATATATATATATATACACACACAGATATATACACAGATATATATATATACACAGATATATATATACACAGATATATATATATACACAGATATATATATATACAGATATATGTATATGTATATATCCACATAAGCTTTGAACACATGGTCCTCCTGCCTCAGTCACCTGAGTAGCTGGAATATTAATTTGTATAAACAATTTACCCTGTGTTAATTATATTATTAGAGGGAAACTTTACTAGATAAATAATGTCAGAAGAATAATCTCTTAAAAAACTTTTGTTTTTTGGGGGGGAGTTGCTTTGTTCACACTCTATTTATTTGGAAACAGTTATTTTTGTATTTGTAAAACAAATGTATAAAGAAGCAATTTTACTCAATAGCATCTTTAAAAAAAATCTATCCTTAATCTTTCTTAAATTTCTAGGCAAAAGCAAGACAGACAGAAGCGTTAGGATAGCTCTAATTGTAGAATCATCTCTCATTCTCTTATGTTTCCAAGTTGGACATCCTATCCGTTTTATAATTTCCAAAAGAAACGGATACCCGAAGACCTTTTGAATCACACTCTGCCCCTGCATTTTCAGTGCACCGCTCAGCTGGGTGTGGCATGCACCTGTAACACAGTCTCCAGCAGTGAAAGGGAGGACGAGAGCCGAGCGGTAGAACAGCAGGGTTGCGGAGCGAGGGTTTGTCCCTGTGTCATGAGAACTTCTCTCATACAGTTTAGATTTCATAAGGAAATACTGTGTCTATAATTCTGCAGAGACTGAAAAGTATGTTTACCATAGTGTAGGCCCCTTAAATTCTTAAGTTAGGAATCACATGTCTGGATAGCCAGAAGACAAGATGTTCCAGCCGCCTGCTCTTAACAGTGATTTTTGGAAGAGCAGATTACCTTATTCTTCAGGCTTAGGTCTTCTAAGTTTACGATAACACTAAACACAAACTTTCCCATTATGCGAACAAATTTTATATAATGTGTTCGTGACTTTTAAGGTAGCCCAGTTTTCTTCTAAGCTATAAGAATGAAGGAACAAAGTAGAGTGTGGTGGCCCGTGGTCTATGTGTTACACAGGAAGTTCAAGGCCAGCTTAGTACACGGAACCCTGTTTCCAAAAGTGACTGATCAATAAATAGCAAACTAGCGTAGGCCATCCCGAAGGCAAGGTTACCTGCTTAAAGGAAAAACAGTGTTTGCTGAGACTTAACAAAGATCCTAAACATCCTTCTAAGTTTTTGCCCGAATACAAATGCTCTTAATGGTCTCAGGCGGCCACTGTTTGCTTAGTTTTCCCCACGTGACCAGCCTTGTAGTCTTCGGGATCACTGTCAAGTGTGACTCTTCTCCTTGATTAGGACAACGTGACGTGTTCACACCGGACAGTACCTTTCTCTCCATCACAGGTGTACAAATAAATGTGCTGAAATGATTAAGTGAAAATATTTCGTAGGTTTTATGCACATTAATGTCACCGGAGCGGAAGTAATGCCATGAGAATCGTCACCCTAAGGCGCCTCTGCTGACTGTACCTTAATAAGTAGGCGGAGTCCTCCTGAAAATGGCAACAGGTTCTCAACGGTCGTGAGAATCCGTGTTCAGGAGCCCTTAGAGCCGATTGCCACACGGAACAACTCAGTTCTTCCTGATGGATTTATCGTTCGTGCTCTCTCCCCAGTGTCTATAGCTGTAATTTTCACGGCACCTTGAGCACTCTTTGGTTTCCGTGAGGACTTAGGAGTTTGTTTCTTAGTTGGGCATCTTGTCAGGCCTTTGGAGAGATGCTCTTAGGTTGTCAGCTTCTGCGCTTATGTCTGGCCGCCCACGTCGGTGTTTCTGAGAGAGAGTTAGGAAAGCCAACATCTGTAGAAACTTCTTAATGTGCACATTTTTAATTCATTGCGATGCTCCATCCACATCCAGAAATCAAGGGTTGGAACCTTGGCAATTGTTAAAGAGGCTAGTCTCCAACTTGTCTCTTCCCCAGATGTGGACTATAAAATCTGGCCTTCATTTTTCTGTGGTAGAAGCCAGTTAGTTGTTATTTGGTAAGATGCATCATTAGCTGTGTGTCTTTGTCATGTACTAAATGAATTTGATTGAATGTATTTAGCCCATGACTCTTTGCTATTTCAGCTCAGTCCGAGTCCTTGGAGATTAAGTTGCTAAGTTTTCCCCCACGTTTAACACCTTTTGAATGTTCTTTGTCATTTACTACCACAAATATAGAAACAATACCATAACGTTCTCTGAAACAGATAGCCAAATTACAATTAATACACCAAACTTGGAAATGATTATGCAAAATGGTTAGCTTTAATGTTAAACATCCTTTGTTCTATGTGAAGAGATATTCAAGGAATATTTTAGGTGGTTTATATTTAATAGTAGCTCCTGTAAACTTGCCTTTTGTAGGATTATTGGCGGGAGTGTAAATGTGGATATAAACCTGATTTGTGTGTGTTTTGGGGGGGGGGGAATGCGGGGATAAGCTGAAAGCTACATTCAGGGCCTCGTGCATATTAAGTGAGTGCTTTAAGAGATGATTTTTAAAATAACTCATCGAGAAATAAGTTTTTATAATTTTTCTTTGACATGCGGTCTTCTCTGCCTCAGAAATAAAGGGCTCTGTATCTTCACTACTGTCTTTCAGTCTCTGACGCTAAGGCTCCAAGACTACCCATTTCTGTCGCACATTGTTATCTACGTCCCGCCTGTCCACGGAAGTAAGGTAACACGTGTTAAGGTTTCTGTGGGCATGCACGGGGGCTGTCTGTCCATGGAAGTAAGGTAATAGACCTATTAAGGTTTCTGTGGGCATGCACGGGGGCTGTCTGTCCACGGAAGTGAGGTAACAGGCCTGTTAAGGGTTCTGTGCGCATGCACGGGGGCTGTCTGTCCACGGAAGTAAGGTAACTGGCCTGTTAAGGGTTCTGTGCGCATGCACGGGAGCTGTCTGTCCACGGAAATAAGGTAGCAGGTTTGTTAAGGGTTCTGTGGGCATGCACGGGGGCTGTCTGTCCACGGAAGTAAGGTAACAGACCTGTTAAGGTTTCTGTGGGCATGCACGGGGGCCGTCTGTCCACGGAAGTAAAGTAACAGACTTGTTAAGGCTTCTGTGGGCACGCACGGGGGCCATCTGTCCCTAGAAGTAAGGTAACACATGTTAAGGTTTCTGTGGGCGTGCACGGGGGATGCTCATGCGAAACTATTTCTTGATGATTTCTGAACAGGTACAGGATTATCTAAAGCGATGGCCAGGGTGGTGAGCCCCCTGGTGTTGTCATTCGAATGTCCCCTCCCTGTGAGCTATACAGAATAAATACAGATCCTTACTAGCTTTATGGTTTGTGAACTACAGTGTGGAATTTAGCTGCAATTCCCTGCAATCATAAATCAGCAGGAAGCCCAGAAACCGATGTCAGGTATTTTAGAGAGAGACCTTAGGGTTCTGCCTTTCTTGGTTCAGGATCTGTTTCACCGTGCAAAGCTAAGAGCACAGCTAAATTTTAAAGCAATAAAAAAAGATTCTAGTATTTGAATACCTTCAGGTACAATGGTTGGAATTACTTTTGCAAGCCACTTCACCATCTCACGATCCACCCAAACGAACTTTGTAAAATACCAATGATCCTGTTCACTAAGTGGTCTCTAGTCTTGGAGTGGCTGTTCTCTGTAGTGGGAGGATTTCTTGTTTAGCTTGTGAGAAGGAATAAAAGGTAAGCCCTTAGCGTGGTGGTTTTGTTTCTCAGCACAACACATGTGGACAAGTCTAGTAGAAGTCTTCCCCACCTCATTTCCAAATTCAAAAACAACCGACCGTTCATCCGTGGGCAGAAGTATTACCATAGCTGAGACACCTAAGGTGGAGTTGTCACGAAAGCCTAGGGTGGACTCTGGTGGCGTCCATTATTTTGAGACAGCAAACTGTCTTCTAACTATCGTGAGGGTTACATTCATTTTTTTTTCATCACCTCCTACTGGCCAGAATAATTCTGTGGCATTGTGATTCTTTACATCTTTGTGGCTTTCAGGAGCTGTTCCTTCTGCAGAACGCCGAAGCAGGCTCCCTGCACGTGTCTAGAAATGTTGCTAAAAAAGAAAATGTTGTCAAAATAAAAATTGTAGTGGCATGCAACATTCTAGATTTCCATTTTTGAAAAAAGCCCATGAATTCATAAGTGAGAACTCATTTTTCCCTTTCTGTAACAGCTGGCTCATCTGTGATATTCTCATATAAACAGCTTTGGCTATAGATGAGTGACTCCAGATGCCTGTAATAGCCTAATTAAACTGTAGATACTTAAAATTGGCAGTATTTAATGAAAATATCATAAGTAACAAAGTTACATTCCCCTTTTGACTAGGAAAGTACTCAGAGACATATTACCCTAAACCCTTAATTAATTTTAACTTATTTTGCATCTCAGTGCTTTGGTCCACTCTTTAATAAACACCCAATGTTAGAATACAACTTTGCAGTGACTTTGTTATAAGAATGACCTTCAGATAATTTAATATATTCGATTGAGAAATTGCTTACCTAGTCTTCTCAGCTTAGCATCTGCTTGAGGGATTCTTGCCAGAGCTACAGTATAATCCATGGTGCTTTCTCCAAAGCTAAGGTTTCTTTCTTCCCCCCACACAAACGTCAAGATTTTTTGCTAAGTTGAATTCTGTATTTTCTAATAAATTAATATTATATCTCAGTTTTTCATAGACTGTGAATTCTTTAAAAAAGAAACGAGATCCATACAGCTTCCTGTAACTCATCTTTTTTCCTTTGGTAAGTATTTCGTTTTTGAAATACTTAAGCATAGTTTTAGCAGTGCCCATTTATTTTGCCAGTCACTAATATTCAATATTAGTATGTTTCAAGTGTAGTTCTTGGGAAAGTATGTAGCCAGGTTCAGTGGTTTGATCCTCGCTAAATGCTGGGCCAGCAGTCAGCTCCCCAGAAGTGAACTCAGAAGGTCTGGGTTTTTTTGTTGTTGCTTTTCTATTGCTGGTAAAGACACAGGCAGCTTAGGAAACAAAGTCTACAATTAGAAGACAACAGCAAACCGAGGCCTGGAGCCTGGAACAGCCGAGAGCTCACATCTTGACCCCAAAGAAGGAGGCAGAGAGAGACTGGAAATCACAGCCGGCTTCTGAAACCTCAAAGCCCGACTACCTGACATACTTCTTCAAACAAAGCCACACCTCCTATCCTTCCCAGATTGTTCCTCTCACTGGGGACAAAGTATTCGAACACCTGAGCCCATGAGGGCCAATCTCATTCCAAATCACCTCTGTATTTTTCCATAGTGTATATAAACTTGCAGTAACCAAGCGCTTCTATGTGTGTAGAATATTATGTGAAATTTTTACTAAAACTGGCGCATTTTATAATTTTTTTCACAGAACTAGTTTTGATTTTTATTGCATAAACAAGTCTCGTTTATTTCTCTTTCTGATTCTGTGCCTGTGCCTTTAGCACTGTCTTCCTGATTTTTCTGCTTATTCATAGGAAACCACGCTTGGTTCTGTTATAAACACCCAGTATATCTAGATTGTTGTCTGTCTTATGAAGGATTCATGACTATATGTTATTAGTTTTTATGTGTATGGGTGTTTTTGCCTACATGTGTGTATGTGTGCCATGTGTGTGCAGGACCTGTGAAGGCCAGAAGAGAGAGTTGGAACTAGACTTGCAGGTGGTTGTGAGCCACTGTGTGGTTGCTGGGAACCGATTGTACTTGAGTCCTCTGGAAGAGCAGGCAATACTCTTAGCCACTGAGCCATCTCTCCATTCCCCAATTAAATGTTTCTGTAAGTTTTATTATGAAAGAATTCTAGACCCATAGTTGTTATGAAAGAGTACAGATTTCTTTTATATCTTTTACCAATCTTTCCCTGATCTTGACCTCTTACATAAATATACTACTTTTTTGTTTTGTTGTTAACAATGGCTTGCTATGTAGCTTAGGCAGGCTACCCTTAAAACTTGTAAATCTCCTACTTCAGCCTCCTCGATTAACACGCACAATGTTAATCTAATTACTGTGGTGTTAATTTTTACCTTTGGTTAATTAAGGTGGTATCTGAATAATTTCTTAAAAATATTTTGGAGGAAATAATTTGAAAAAATGTTCAACTCATTAATTTTAGCATACAATGGGTCACTTATTCTTTAGCAAGTAATTACTATTGTATTCTCCATTTATTGAAATCCTCTCTGAGATAGAGTAGCTTCATCTGTCTTTTTTATTCATTTATTTTTAAAACAGTATGGATTAGTGAATATTTATTTTGGGTGGGGGCCTAGCTCAATGGCGGAGTGCTTGCTTAGCATGGATATTTTATTCATGGGTTATAACAGTGATAGATGTGGTCTTGCTTTGGTTGTTCCAGCTTTGGCTTTTAGGGGCTCTTTTAGCTTGGTTACTGTACCTTTTAATATGCTACATTCTTCATACATGTGCACACACACACATGCATACACATGTTACATGTATCCCTTTTATGAAAGGGATAGGAAACTTTCTTTAAGGTTTTTATTCCCCTTTCCCCATCTGGATCCCTGTTTGGGGTACAAAATGCTCAGGAAAATACAAAGGTAATGACTCTGAATTTCCTGTTTCAGTTGAATAGCATGCTTTAGATGCCTTCCTAAAATTGGAAATAAGAACTTGACTTTTAAAAAAAAATACCTTCAACGTCAGAGAGTCATTATAAGTAGTTTTATTTAGCATTTTTTGATGAGAATTTAATTTTTAGCAGTTTGCTTCCTTTATATCAGCAGTGGAAACCTGTTAACTTCTGTTTTAGACAGTCTCCGCTGTAGCACAGGTGGCTTCAAAAGCTCATCACCCCTGCTCATACACGACCACACCATGTTCTAACAAATTTTCTCCTAATTTCAAAATTCAGTTAATTTTCAGTGCTTTTTTAAGCAATCAGTCTATTTTTTAAAATTCTCTAACCTCTAAGTAATGCAGTACTTTCCATTCAACAGGATTGTCTTCAAGGAAGGTGAAATTAAATCTAAGCGGCCTGTACTACAATATAGAGCTGCTGAACTTTGGACAGGTAATTCTCTTGAATAGAGCAGGAAGAATTTCATCCTCATTTGCTATTTCATTGAACAAATCAACTCTGGGTTTTTGTCTTTGTCGAACTTTATCAGATATACCAAGCTTTTAAAGTCAATGTGGTGAGCAAGTGCTCCGGAGGCAAAGGTGAGTGTGTAGCGCTACATGTGAGGAGCCAGCAAGTTGTTTTGAAGTTTCTAGAATGTTTATTTCATCTTTTTTCTTTCATGTATTTTATATAGAGTAAAATCAAATAAATAATCATGGGGACATGTTTCTGTTTTCAAGGGATTTATCCTGGACTCTTTCTTCATAGTAACCCACATTCATGTGTTTAAAAGTTCTATGTATTTGGGGATGGGTGAGAAAGCTTGGCAGTTAAAGATCTCTCAGTTCCCAGAACCCATGTAAAGGTGGAAGAAATGTATGACCCCCATGACTCACATGCAAGTCTTATACACAAACATAATAGTAATCATAAATTTTTTAAAAAAGTTAAAGTGCTGTAGATCTTGATTTTCTTACAGCCGCAGGCTCAGGTTGAGCTCTTAAATTCTGTTTTGGATTTTTAGTACGACTCGTTTGCTTTAATATTTTTTTTTTTATGAGTCTGATATTCGGTCACCCTTCTCCATGTGCTGTGACTCATCTTTTTGTAAAACGGGCAGTTTGTATATTGCAGTCTTAGAGTTGGCACACACATTAAGGTAACACTCAAGTAATGCTTCTCCCCTTTGTTTCTTAACAGAAGAAAAAACCAGTATCTATAAGCTTCATATTCCCTGGTCTTACGAAGATTCTCTAACCATTGCACAGTAAGTACATGAAAGAATTTACTTGAAACTTCCGTGTCTTAAAGTAGAACCTGTGCCTTGTTTATTTAAGTCATATGCATTATTAAAATCCCTTTTAGGACAGTGTATGCATCCTTTAATGTCTTTCATGCCCTTTTAACACATATGTACAGTAATCTATTTGAAGAACCGAGCACTTAACGTCTTGCTTGAGCATGAGTGTCTTACCTTTATCCCTACCACTCCACACATGCTAGAGGGGGAAGCCGAATAACTGTATTGTGCATGGAGGTGTCCACACACGATAATGCCTCTGTCGTTTCCCTTCCTCTACTTTAGTTCATTGTATTGTGCTGAGAGCTGGCTAGGCCCTGGCTGTCTGCCAGCGTTTTATATTTGAGGACTGATATTTCCGTAATCTCTTCAGGGTTCCGTCTTCCACAGAAATTTCTCTGAAACTTCACGTTGCTCAGCCGGAAAACGACAGCCACGTGGCGCTGTTGAAAATGTACACGTCATCAGACTGTCGGTATGAGGTAAGACATATGTTTGCGTCATTAAGTATGGCTTAGTTATAGACAGACAGAGGTCTTTTTTCTATTAGCTGGTGTAGAAGCCCATAAATATGAGAAATGAAACTGCTAAATATTTTCCACTTTGTTTCTTTACCATATTTTAGTATTTCTGCAAATAGACTGTATGCGCATGTGAGCATCATATAAAAGAGGATGCTTCGCAGTCTAAATAATTAGAATATATTCCAAACTTTAAAATAATGAAAAGGTTATTCTAAATTTTAGAGCCCATAATCAAGAATCTTTCCTAAATTGGAGAGCTTCATTTAATTAGCTGCCATGCTATATAGTATAGTTAACTATAGTAACAGTCATGGTGCATACTGGTTTATACCAGTACTGGCTTAGTTTAAGGCTCTTGTATTTTCTAAAGATCTGTGTGCTTTTCGGTGGTGGCGTTAATGTGAAATATCTTATTCCTAGTTGGCATACATCAGTAATTCTGTCATGGGAGTCACGTCTTTAGGGTGGAGCAGGAGCTAGCACACTGGTGGGATCTGCCCGTCCCGCCAAGTTTCAGGTGCACCTCTGTAAGGAATTCATTTGCATCTCATGGACTTCACGGATAGTACTTTGTAGGGAAACTGAAATCTGGGTTTTAAGAACTTCTAGTTTTTACTGTTGAGGAGCAAGTATATTACAAAATATACAGAATGGTAAACAGTTCTTTAGACAGTTAATATGGTTTGGGACATTCTTGAAGATCTCTTGTTTAATTGTTCAGAAATTACCATACTTAAAAAGATATGCAGATGTACTCAATTTAATAAAACATGAAATGCGTTTAGGAAAGTTAATCTCTTTTTTAAACAATTATTTTATACTAGGTGACAATTAAGACTTCCTTTCCACAAATACTTGGACAGGTAAGAGAACTTAATGCAAGTTGACTGATTATTTATTGCTTTGTGATTTGAAAGGGATTTCATTTTTTTTCTGTAAACTAGTAGTTTTTTAAGTAAGACCACAGATTTTAGTCTTTATTATTGGAACTTGGAGAAGTATGCAATATTAAGACAGAGAAATTAATAGAAATTAATACAAAATTTATATTGCCGCTCTGATTTTTTGAACTTTGTATTTTGTATCTCAGACATACTACTTTCTTGAATCATAAGATAATAAGTTAATATTGATGATTTTGTACTTGGTCATGATTGTAATTTAATCCTTTTTTGTAATTCAATTCTTAAAATTGAGTTGGAAATATTTTTGTATGCATTATCTCATTTGAACCTTACAACAACCTTTTGAGAATTAGATTTTAATTATCGTAAAGTTTATGGCATAATAAAATTCAGTTTATGTATAATTTTTTATGTAAATCATGAAGAAACTAGCAAATTTTAATTTGAGTTATAAAATAGCATCATAAATACTTAGTTCATAAAAAGTTAAGGAACCAATTAAAATTATTTTCTGTAATATAAAATAAGTCCTGCTCTCATGTTTTCAAAGTATGCAAAAGACTTGTCACTTGCATAGCTTAGAGTGAAGGTGGACATCAGCTCTTATCCATAGCCCCGTGGCCCATATTTCAGATTAGTGATGAGAAAACTCAAGGTTCCATAGTATGCAATGACCAAAGACGATTATACTAAAAAAGAGGACAAAGTAACATTTATATTTAGATATAGAAACCTTTCTAAAAGGTAAGATTGTATTAACGTCGCAAGAGCAAAAGTCTATGCTTTCTTAAATGTCAAATAAAGAACTTGTGTTAATTAAGTCCAAAGTTACAAAATGGAAAAACATACATTCTTCTTTCATCCTTGGTTGCTTGGTTTGTGGATCTAGGAGAATTAGCTCCCGTGTAACATAACTGTTTGGTATGTGTGTATTTTTAGATTTATTCCTTAAAATAGCACACGAAGTATTATTAGATGTCACTACGACATTTTGAACTGTTTTGGTAAATTCTTCTCCCCCATCCAACCCCCTCTGCCCTCCCCACCTTAACTCTCTCATTTCCTTTCCATTGTTGAGGAGAGGAATCTCTGCAAACACCAGAGCCAGCAGAGTGTAGGTGGGGACTGCTTGCTCCTTTCCTGACTGCTCAGACCTGATTAATTACACAGAAACTATATTAATTACAACACTGCTTGGCCTATTAGCTCAGGCTTCTTATTAACTAACTCTTACATCTTAAATTAACCCATTTCTATTCATCTGTGTATCTCCATGAGGCTGAGGCCTACCTTTACCGTTAGGTTCTGGCATGTCTTTCTTCTTCTGCAGCTACATGGCTTCTCCTTGGCTCCGCCTACTGTTTCTTTATGTCTCTTTGGATTTCCCACCTGGCTTCATTCTGCCATGCCATAGACTGAAACAGCTTTATTTATTATCCAAGAAAAGCAACACATACACAGAAGGACATCCCACATCAGCAGAGTGACTCTCCCCAGTCTCCTTCCATTGTCAGAGTTGGAGTCTCTGCAAACATCATGGCCAGCAGAGTGAGGAAAAGGAAGTCTGGTTCACCATAACTCAGTGGACAGTTTGAGTTTAAATTATTAGAGTCTGACATCGGGTAGTTTATTTTACAGCTATCTAAGCGCAGCGCAATTCGAAGAAAAGTTTCATGTGATAATTAACTCAGTCCCGTGTGTACAACAAAAGCTTAAGACATGACTACATCAAAATTCTTGTAAGGCACAAGTAGCGTCTTCCATAAAAACAGACAGGTTCTCTGGATTAAATGAGGAAGCAGGCTCACAGTAAACAATGCTCCTGATAAGGGTCTGGGGAGGACAGAGCTCTAGATTGACTGAGATAAGCATCTGGGTCTGAGAAGGAGAGAGTTCTAGATTGACTGAGGTAAACATCTGGATCTGGGAGGAGGAGAGAGCTCTAGATTGACTGAGATAAACATCTGAATCTGGGGAGGAGAGAGTTCTAGATTGAGATAAACATCTGGGTCTGGGGAGGAGAGAGCTCTAGATTGACATAAACATGTAGGTCTGGGGAGGAGAGAGCTCTAGATTGACTGAGATAAACATCTGGGTCTGGGGAGGAGAGAGCTCTAGATTGACTGAGATAAACATCTGGATCTATTGGAGGAGAGAGTTCTAGATTGACTGAGGTAAACATCTGAATCTGGGGAAGAGAGAGTTCTAGATGACTGAGATAAACATCTAGGTCTGGGGAGGAGAGAGCTCTAGATTGACTGAGGTAAACATCTGAATCTGGGGAGGAGAGAGCTCTAGGTTGACTGAAATAAACATCCGGGTCTCGGGGAGGCAGTGAGGCCTGACTGCACTGACAGTGCAGAGGTCACCAGGCCAGTAGCCACCTCTTTCCCAGCCTTCTGGACAGAAAGAGGTTGTACATCCTCTACCTTCAACAAGACAACGCTCCATGTCTAACACCCCTGGTTTCCTAGTGTTCATTTGTGAGCACAGGGACCTCCGTGTCTTCTGCACGTTTTCATGGCACGCGTGCCCTCACGCCTGTGAGCACAGTGACCTCCGTGTCTTCTCCACGGTTTCATGGCACGCGTGTCCTCACGCCTGTGAGCACAGTGACCTCCGTGTCTTCTCCACGTTTTCATGGCACACGTGTCCTCACGCCTGTGAGCACAGTGACCTCCGTGTCTTCTCCATGTTTTCATGGCACGCGTGCCCTCACGCCCTCTCCCTCCTCAGCACCCGTTTCTCCCTCTTGCTTCCCTTTCTCGTCTTCCCCAGCTTCCACCCATCTATGTATGTGAATGTGTACATCACAAGCTAGGATCTACACAGGAGAAGAAATGCGCTCTTACTTCGAATCTTGCTGAGTTTGCGTCACCTTGCTCTATCTCTAGATCCATTATTTTCCTGCAGACTTCATGATTTCACCTGTTTACCGTCGGATAGAATTCTGTTATCTATATGTGATCTATGTATGTAATGAGCCACGTTCATTACCCACTTATCTGTTCATGAGCTTGCTCTGCCCCGTTGTGATTGTGGGTGGACCAGCAGTAAGCCCAAGCGGGCAAGCTTGACACCATTCTTTTTCTACTTTTTTTCATGAATTAAATCTTCTTGGGCCATTTCTGATTACTTACTAACCACCCACATCTTTCCTACAAACCTCTTCCTCACCCTTCTGCTTTAGTTTGTGACTCACGTCATTGAACTAGGGCCATGTGTACGCCTTGGGTTTGGAGCTGTCCGTTAGAACCTGTTGGGGTTACCCCTGGGTACACAACTCAAGACAATACCTCCTCCCTTGCCAGAACCTCGAAGTAGCCAGTAGTTCATCAGTAAGAGGCCGGGCCCCATGATTCCCCCCCCCCCCCCGACTGGCAGGGCCAGTCTTGCACAGGACAAGGCCAAGTACAGTTCTCACTGCTGCCGTGAGCTCATGCTTGCGATCCTTGTGTCGTGTCTGGAAGACGGTGTGACCTTCCCACTTCTTCCTGCCTTTCGGCTCCTCCATTCTTACTCCCTCTCTCTTCTGCGGTGTTCCCTGGGACTTATAAGGCACAACACAGGTGATCTATTTAAGGCTGGGCCCTCAGTTATCGCTTTATGCCCCGGTCAGTTACGACCTTGCAATCACCGCCATTCACCGCACTTTCTGACGGAAGCCGGGAGTGGCTTCTGTCCTTGGTGTAAACGTAGGGATTTAGAAGGCAGTTTGATACTATGCCAACTTCATCAAATAACAGTACTGAGTTCTCCTTTGGGCCTCTGGCCTTCCCAGGCATGGGTTGTCTACTGCTTTTATAGTACCAGGCATAGACTAATTCCCTTCTATAGAGTGGGCCTCAGATCCAGTCCGAGGGCCGCCGACTGACCCCCTAACGACCATGCCACTATGCCTGAGATGAGCGTATCTTGCCAGGAGGGTCGGTTTGTAGTTAATAGACTTTCCAGCTCGATGAGACCCCTGGTGCCCTTCCTGGATGCTGGCAGGGATGCTGCTGTCTTAGCCCCCTGTGTGGCCACACGCAAGCTTTCCTTCTCCTCTCTATAACCAGAGGGTTCTTTACGTTTTCCTTTGACATTAGCAGCAGTGAATATTGTTTAGGTTGATTGGCTGAAAAATGGCCTTTTCTGCCTTCTTCGTTTTTCTCTGCCTTCCACTAAAGCTGTAAGCTGAGCATGCGCTATGTATTTCCTTCATCTCCTGATCTCTTTTGACCTGGATGCCTCTTCCCTATCAACATTTCTAACCGCAGAAGACTCTTGGTCTCTGAACCTAAACCTGTTTTGCCTGCTAAACGGGGAAGAAACCCCTTCAGAGGACCTGGGGGGCAGGGACGTGAGAAGATACCTGTGAATGTGAAGTGCCTCCTCCAGTCCCGAAACTCTAAACACCCAGCAAGCCTGCTTTAAAGAATACTGCAAAAACCAGGAAGATACTGCGCTTTTTGAAGTTTCATGCACTGTTTTGTGTTAGGCTTCGACTTCCGTAGGCTGTTATCAGGTTACCAGATACTGTGCGTTATGAAGGGACTCCGTGGAACGGAGGAAAACTTGAAGCTAGATTAATTTTAGCATTATGAGAGGTGCTGAGTTCGCCTATATAAAAATATCACAACCAAGCCTCTCATTTTGCTTAATTACCATATGCCAATGGAGCCATTTACTTAACATCTCTTTTAATACCATCTACCATAAGCAGGGTGTGTCCTCTTGAAGCCCTGGAACATAACGGTTGTGAGCTTAGGCTACGTTAAGTTCAAGTGTCGCGGGATTTCCTCATTTAGAGACGGTTCATAATGGCCACTGTGGATTTCTGATGGCTTGTCTCGAGAGAGTTAGCGTTCTAACTACTCTAACCAGGGGCTGTACCTTATCTCTATAACCACCTGCAAGCACTGGTATTGCCCCCAATTTATTGATAAGCACACAGATGAAGTAAGCTAACCACTAAAACATTTGTAGTGGTACAAGGTACGGGGCTCCGCATACCTGAATTCTTCTGTACATAAGATAGGGATGAAAATCACTTTTGAAGAGCTTGAGATAATGCATACAAGGTGTCAGGCATCTTCCCTGAACCCTGGGTGCTCAATAAAGATGCCATGGAAATACCGTGTGGCGTGGGGATTCATCTACGCCTGTGCTGAGAAACTCCGCTGTGTCTATGACGCTATTCGTTATTAATGTTTGTTTCCTTAGAGTTTCAATGCTCCTTGCTAGAAATAAGGGTGTGGCCCAGCCAGGGAAAGTGCAAAGTGAAGAATAACCTTTTTATCCTGTGGGAAAGTTTCAGCGGCATCGATGTTCCGTAGCTGACGCTTGGTCTGCCTGTCTTCTAGGTAGTTAGATTTCACGGTGGAGCTTTTCCCGCCTACGTGGTCTCTAGCATCCTGCTTGCTTATGGAGGACAGTTATATTCTCTCTTCTCAACAGGTAAAAGTGCTGACACCGTCAAAGTTAGCTTTGTTTTCAATGCTAAAGTAGAGCCACTGTTGGTTCCGTGGCACCACTCTTGGTTCCGTGGCACCACTCTTGGTTCCGTGGCATCTTCCCTGTGGATTTCGTTTGGTTTTGCTTTTCCTGGTACTGGAGATCAAAACTAGATCTTGTGTGTTCTAAGAACTGCCACTTGACTTTATTCCCAGGGTCATATATATTTAAATTATGCTGAATTGGACGGCATAATAAGAAAGTTTTTAGGATTAACCACCGCCACTGTTCCTGGAAACTCCAGGATGGCGTGTGGCTTTGTGACCAGCCTTCAGGTCTTTACGGCATTTTCAGTACTTTTGTCTTATAAAAGGAAAAATTCCCATATACCTAAAAATGATCCCTAAAAACAAGGAAGAAGAAATAGCAAGAGGGGAGATGAGGAAGGAAGTAGAAAGGAAAGAACCAGAAGGAATGGAGGCGGCAAGACAGAGAAGGGTTGGTAGCGATGTTAACGTCTTTCACACTCTTAGGTGAGATCCGCAGACTGCAGTTTGTTCTTCAGTTTGATCGTTAAATGTAGTAGCCACACTTCCCCCAATCCCACCACACCTCCTTGTAACTGATTGAAAACCTCTTGTTCTTTGGTGGTTTTCCTAACTGAGATTTTGGGGATGGAGTTGAGCATGTTCCTCTGTCCTCTCATTTTCTAAAGCGTGGATTAGCAATTAGCGCTGTGGACTTCGGGTTCTCTCCTCGTCCACACCCTCTCCTTTGCTGCTGCTGCAGCGGAGACACTTGTGTTGCATGGGCCTGCAGTAGTGAGCCTGCAGTCTTTAATCCCGCTGCCTCCTGGTTTATTCCCTGCCTTTCTCCCTGTCCTCACCTCCCATTTCTCCCGTTCCTTCTGTTCCCTCCCTTCCTTGCCTCCCTCCCTTTCCTTTCCTCCCTCCCCTTCCTTTCCTCTCCTCCTTCCCCTTCCTTCTGTTCTCTTCCTTACTTCTTCTCCCTCCCCTTCCTTCTGTTCCCTCCCCTTCCTTTTTTCCTCTCCCTTTCCTTTTCTCTCCTCCCCTTCCTCCCCTTCCTCTTCCTCTCCTCCCTCCCCTTCCTTTCCTCTCCTCCCTTCCCTTCCTTTCCTCTCCTCCCTTCCCTTCCTTTCCTCTCCTCCCTTCCCTTCCTTTCCTCTCCTCCCTTCCCTTCCTTTCCTC